TTAATTTACTACGCTTCTCAGTGTTGACGCCCCACAGTTAATTTACTACGCTTATCAGTGTTGACGCCCCACAGTTAATTTACTACGCTTATCAGTGTTGACGCCCCACAGTTAATTTACTACGCTTCTCAGAGTTGACGCCCCACAGTTAATTTACTACGCTTCTCAGAGTTGACGCCCCACAGTTAATTTACTACGCTTCTCAGTGTTGACGCCCCACAGTTAATTTACTACGCTTATCAGTGTTGACGCCCCACAGTTAATTTACTACGCTTCTCAGTGTTGACGCCCCACAGTTAATTTACTACGCCTCTCAGTGTTGACGCCCCACAGTTAATTTACTACGCTTCTCAGTGTTGACGCCCCACAGTCCGTAAATTTCACAATCATGACGTCCCACATTCCGTAAATATCTCAATCTGGACTCCCCACAGTCCATAAAATTATCAATGGAGAATTGTTTTACCAACTACAGTCAGGCCGTGTAGTAGTTTGAGGTGATCAGTATCTTAATGTTAAGAGCTATATTCTATTATTTTTGTAATACTTCAAAACATTTGGTAAAACCTAATTTTAATCAAGCCTGTCAGATCGTGTAGCTTACACCTTGTAAAAGTGAAGTACAGTATATATCTTGTACTATTGGACTATATCGCGGATGGATATCTGTCATTAAGAATCACGAAGTAAAAGGGCGCCAGTCTTTGAGCCGTTAAGTTCCATAGCTTAGGGTTTTTAACAAAGCAACGTGACGGACGTTGTTAATAAATTTGTTGAATAATACTTCTGTTTCACCTCTGTCATTAAAAGGAGGACCTTGTAGATAATAAACAGGAAGACTTGTGGTAGATATTCGGTTCCATAATCTGTATTCCTTTGTATTACTTATATCACCTGAAAGGCAGACAGGGTCGCATCATATGTGCCCTGAATTTCCGACGTGAACCTTTCGTTTTCTTTAAATATCAATAAATTTAAACTATTGAATTAACAATAATTATGAAACAAGTTAAAAACTTTACTTTTAATTCAATCACTCTTGCTGGCCCTGATGGAAGCGCAAACATGGTCGTAATGTGGGAGGCAACTGGAATACCCGGAAAAAAATTCACGTGACCGGACAGGTGACTCCATACATTTCACTCGGAGAATCGAACACTGTTCGTTTGGGTGAAGGACGAGCGCGCTAACCACATCGCCACCCGATCGTTGATTGTATTGCGCGTATCACGGGAGACTCTCTGAGCATGGTTTCATTATTCTGATACTCCTATTAATCAGCGGCGCGATGGGATTCACGATTAGATGAGAGAACAGAGAGTGATCTAAAGCGTTGCACTTCAGGCTTAAAACCATCGATATTTTGTGAAAACACTTAATAAAGAAAACAGGCGATTCCGTAAGGACTCCGCCTTTGTCGCCTTGTTCGGTAATGCAATGGAATAAAAAAAAAACATATATATATTTGAGGCCCTGAGTACATTAAATCGGGCAAGTGTATAAGTCACTTAAATAGTTCTCCCCTGAGATCAGGATACCGGTTCTACACTAGCCAATACCGATACAAAGTGAAGTATTTCAACTCTGATGAATTTTCTATAAGTAATCTTTCGGGATTGAATGTCACGCGCTTTAACACCCAGAGTAGATCACCCTTGACACAATTCTTTCGTGTGTAGTGGCTCGTGTGATTTAAAAGCGCGTCCTTCCGTACTAATATCCAAGGCTGCCTCCTCTGCCATTGAAATACCTTTAATACATTTGTCAATTATAAATGAAACGCTTATTTTCCCCACTTTGCACTTTTATTCAGCTTTGAGGTTTTCAGCATGCATATATCTCCAAGCATGATTTATTTATAGAATGGGTAATACAATCGTATACAAAGAGTTGGAAGTGGAATTAAGATAAACACAAACCACTATAATACATCATCACTAAGTCTGTCCTAACAACCTCAACCTAAGATCGTCGAAACGTTACACGAATATCAGGAAGATCTTATCTATATGTATCAAATTAAACCTCTCTCTAGAAAGGTATTGCCCAAGCAATGAGTTTCCCTTGTGATGTCATGGACTGTCGGTCAGGTTAAAGAACACAATGGTGGTGGATTCCAGAGGATATTTCAATCACTCTCCCAAAAATCCTGAAATAGTAAACTGTTTGATAAAATATAAATTGGTAGATTGGTTTAAATGGGAACAAGTGTGTTCTTCATTGCATCTCGTTTGTGCACCCGGATAGAGTAGGCCTAATTTGGCGCCAATATAGTTTAGAACTACTGTTGTGGCCCAGATAGAGTAGACCTACTGTTGGCGTCCATATAGAGTGCATATAAGCATACTTTTGGCGCCAAGATAAAATTGGCCTACTGTTGGCGCTCAAGAGTAAGCAAACTGTTTGCGCCCAGATAGAGTAGACCTACTGTTGGCGCATTGATAGAGTAGACCTACTGTTGGCGCCTAGATTGAGTAGAGCTAATGTCGGCGCCAAAAAAGAGCACAAGTACTGTTGGCGCCCATATAGAGTAGACCTACTGTTGGCCTCGCAGATTGAGTAGGCTATATACTGTTGGCTCCCAGATAGAGTAGACCTACCGTTGGCTCTTGGATTGAGTAGGCCTACTGCTGGCGCCAATATGAAGTTGACATACTGATGGCGCCCATATAGAGTAGACTTACTGCTGGAGCCTTTTAAAGAGTAGGCTTTCAGTTAATGCTCAGATTGAGCAGAACTACTACTGGCGCCTGATAGAGCAGGTCTACTGTTGGCGTCAAGATAGAGTAGAAGTACTGTTGGCGTCCATATAGAGTAGATCTACCGTGGGCGCCCAGATATGATACGAATGTTGTTTGCACCTAATCAAAGTAGTCCTACCTTTTGCGCCCAGATAATGTAGAGTTACCTTTAGCGCCCAGATACAGTAGGCATACGTTTGGTACCTAGATATAGCAGGCCTTATGGTCGCTCCCAGATAGAGTAGGCCTACTGCTGGAGCCCGTATATATTGAGCTTACTGTTAATGCCCAGATGGAGTTGGCCTACAGTTGGTGCCCAGATACAGTAGACCAACTGCTGACACCCAGACTGTGTAGGCAGATATGATAGGGTTACTGTTGTCCCCTAAACAGAGTTGTCCCACCAATAGCCCGAGTTTCCTCTGGCCCCCGACACCAGACCTGATATTTTGACTGATAGATGTATGGCGTGGGGCCAGAGCGCACTGCTATATGAAAACGTGGACTTCTCTCTCCGTTTAGTATCGGAGAGTTATCAGGTGCTGACAACAAAACTATGCTATGACACAACACATACCTCACAGATATCGATAAATGGATTATTTCTTGATCCAAATCAGCTCTTATCACCAACAACAGCTAATAAATTCCGTTAGTAGAGTCTTCGTTTTTTAATCATTTAAAAAAAAATCCCACCTGAGCGAACGCCATTTTTGTAGGTCACGGGGTGACTAGACAACAAACCGTACTGATCCGGACCGAAAACGGAATATTGTTAAGAAGATTTCCGGACCGCGTCTTTTTGTTGATAAGTCACTCTCCGATACCAAATGGTGTCGGAGAATTCCAAGTTTTCATATACCAGTGCTCTCTGGCCCAACACCATACATCTATCAGTCGAAATGTCTAAGTCTTGTGTCGGGGCCAGAGGAAACTCAGTCTATCCCATCAACTGAGCTCAAATAATATATGATTACTTTTAGCGCCCGGATACAGTAGACATCCGTTTGGTGCCCATATTGAGTAGGCCTTCTGTGTACGACAATTTGCTACAGGGAGCATCGAAAGCCTTTTTCTACTATTGAGAAAAAACACCCGAGGTACACTTAAGCGTTAACTATGAAGGTAAGCACGTCCGACCAAACGGCCTACCGAGCACGCGTCTAAGTTCCCTGGGTGCATATCAATGAAGAATAATTCTGTGGAATAAACATTTCCCTAAAAGTACAGGCAGTTGGAGGCAGTTTGGTAACCATGTATTAATAACAAAGTAAAATATTTTTGTCTGGAAGGTGATATTTAATCAAAGATTTTATAGATTAGTTTAGACGAAGGCTCAAATGGCTTTTTCCGATTCGTTTTCATCTGATGTCGTCAGTTAAAATTGAACATTTTCAACTTCTTCTTATGAACCACGAAACCAATATAGTCCTAACTTGGTACCAATTATCCTTATGACGTCCAAAGTAAGTGTTCCTACAGTTTGGTCTGATCCGAAAAAAAAAAAAATGGCCATAATGCCACCTGATTGGCTGAGACATTATCAAATTGTTCTCAAGAAATTTTACAGCTTTTGACTCCAATCTTAGTGCAAATGTTCCGCGTGAAGACTCCACAAAGCGTTCTTGGTTTTTGGACCAATCCTACCTCCAAATAGCCACCCCGGCCACTAATTATCTCAGATATTGGTTTTTGGACCAATCCTACCTCCAAATGGCCTCAGATAATTAGTGGCCGGGGTGGCCACTAAATATCTGAGGACTAGTTTAAGCTATTTAATCCAAACTTGGTAAAACATAACAAATGTTCTTTATGGTATCCTGAAGAAATTGATTTAGTTTTGTGCCTCTCTGCAGTTTAAAATAGCCACCCAAACTAGACTATTTGCCAGCCCCCCGTCAACCGTTGTCATATTTACATTGTTCGCTACACACGACTACAAAACTTATTTTTCATCCGTCAAAAATATGAATCTGTAAAATTAATTATAAGCTAGAATATAACATGAGGAAAAACTAAACTCTGTCTCAGTGGCGCCCTGAAAAGGACACTAGTCTCTCGCCTGTTTACTGCTCAGCAAGCTGTTACTATCTTTTGCAGCTGGTAAGCCAATATTTCCAATGAGAAATTTATCAACTTTATTCAAAATATGAATTGATTTAAGGTAAGTTGATAAATAAAGATATCCACTAATCATATGTATATCATTAATGACACAATGAACATCCCGCATCAGTAAGCTCCAACCCTATTCTACAGAATGTGACAAGAAAGAGATCGCTGACGCCCCGATGCACTTCGAACAGTTCGTGGCACGTAGTGGTTGGATTCGGATGCCGTGTGCCCCCGGGACAAGCTACAACCAACGCGACTGTCAGTGTACCGTCATATCCGAGTATGTCAAAAAGGACGAAGGTAAGAAATTAGTATCTACCTGTACAGATGGATGATGACGGTGTATAGATGGATGAAGACTGGGTTGTCTAGGCGGAGGAAGAAGGCTATAAATGAGGACGGGCGTATCTGTTTGGATAATGAGGGCGCGAATAAAGATGAGAAATGAGGATGGCGTGTGAGGCTGGGATAGTTGAGGATTGGCGTATCTTGGTTGGTAACAAGGTTAGGAATGAATATAGATGCATCTTGGCGAGTGAGAAATATAAAGAACGAGAATGGGCGTGTCTGGGTAGATGACAAGGCGGGGAATGAGGATGGGTGTAACAGGATTGTGGATGAGGAAATGGTAAATGATTATTGAAGGATGTGTCTGGATGGGCGATACATGTGAGGATTGGGTTGGATGTGTCTTGATTGGTACCGAATAAAAAGAATAAGGACATGTAGATCTATATATAAATGGTGGATAAGGAAGATAGAAAATGAGTATGGAAGGGTAATGCTGAATAGGCAATGAATGTGTGCAATTGAGAATAAGGACATGTGCGTCTTGGTGGCGAATGAGACAATACGGCTGAGTCTATGCAGAGGGACAAAGAAGTTGAGCGTTTCAAGTTGGGTGTTAGACTGACGATACTCGTGTCTATGTCATCATATTTGTCATAAATTGAACAGATATCAGAATGATTTGGATGATCCCTTTCCTTCTAGACCTGTCATTTCATTTTTTATTATAGGTTGTAAGTCTAAGGTAAGCCTGAACTTTGCCACCTACATCGAGGAGAACAGTGACAAATCGGTATATGTGGTAAACGAGAACGTTTCCGTGGCGCATGGTGTCGCAATATTCGACGGCAAGAGTTCCCTGCGCGTGCCACAATTGTCGAACATGGATCTAGGGGACACCGTTGTTCTAAAAATACGGTACAAGGATACACCCAAAAGACATCCCAGGGCCACTGATCGACCCCAAGCCCTCATCAGCAACGGTGACTGTGGCAACAACGCCTCCGTCCTGCTCGCCAAGGATGATACCAGTATAATGTTCGGGGCGGAGACGGACAAAGGTGGTTACACCAGCTTCTCAATACCTACTCCGGTAAGTCACGTGGTATAGCACGTCAGTCAGTCATCGAATATTTACAAAAATGAACAGAAGGTCAAGGTCAGTCCAAATCAGTTGGAAGGTTTGTCTGTGGAACGAATACGGAAAATAACTCCATTGTTGCAAATCAGAGTGCTTTTTCCGTTTTCTATTAGTTTTAGAAACAAAATGTCCGACTCCTGCGGTAAGGCACAACAATTCTTCAGTCAGACAGTGTTACGACAAAGTTGTTTCACATGCAAGAAACAACTTACATAACCCTGAAATTTTCCTAATAATATAGCGTTACAGTCACATCACAGCAAGTCACGTGACGGGTCTGTCATAGGCACCTGGTGATGTCAAAATGCAAATATCTTCCAAATTTTAGCGGCCCTCTTATATCCTAAACAATCATCAGCCCTCTTATATCCGATCCCATCATCAGCCCTCTTATATCCGATAACATCATCGCCCCTCTTATACCCGATACCATCATCAGCCCTCTTATATTCGATAACATCATCACCTCTCTTATACCCGATTCCATCATCAGCCCTCTTATATCCGATACCATCATCAGCCCTCTTATACCCGATACCATCATCAGCCCTCTTATACCCGATACAATCATCATCCCTCTTATACCCGATACAATCATCGGCCCTCTTATACCCGATACAATCATCAGCCCTCTTATACCTGATACCATCATCGGCCCTCTTATATCCGATAACATCATCACCCCTCTTATACCCGATACCATCATCAGATCTCTTATACCCGATACCATCATCAGTCCTCTCATACTCGATACCATCATCGGCCCTCTTATATCCGATACCATCATCAGCCCTCTTATATCCGATACCATCATCAGCCCTCTTATACCCGATACCATCATCAGCCCTCTTATACCCTATACCATCATCAGCCCTCTTATACCCGATACCATCATCATCCCACTTATATCCGATACCATCATCAGCCCTCTTATACCCGATACCATCATCAGCCCTCTTATACCCGATACCATCATCAGCCATCTTTTATCCGATACCATCATCAGCCCTCTTATACCCGATACCATCATCAGCCCTCTTATATCCGATACCATCATCTGCCCTCTCATACCCGATACCATCATCAGTCCTCTCATACTCGATACCATCATCAGTCCTCTTATACCCGATACCATCATCTGCCCTCTTATACCCGATACCATCATCAGCCCTCTTAAAACCGATACCATCATCAACCATCATCAGCCCTCTTATACCATCGGCCCTCTTATATCCGATAACATCATCGGCCCTCTTATATCCTAAACAATCATCAGCCCTCTTATACCCGATACCGTCATCAGCCCTCTTATATCCGATAACATCATCAGCCCTCTTATATCCGATACCATCATCAGCCCTCTTATACTCGATACCATCATCAGCCCTCTTATACCCGATACCATCATCATCCCTCTTATACCCGATACAATCATCGGCCCTCTTAAATCCGATAACATCATCGGCCCTCTTATATCCTAAACAATCATCAGCCCTCTTATACCCGATACCATCATCAGCCCTCTTATATCCGATAACATCATCAGCCCTCTTATATCCGATACCATCATCAGCCCTCTTATACCCGATACCATCATTAGCCCTCTTATATCCGATACCATCATCAGCCCTCTTATACCCGATACCATCATCAGCCCTCTTAACCCGATACCATCATCAGCCCTCTTATACCCGATACCATCATCATCCCTCTTATATCCAATAACATCATCGGCCCTCTTATATCCTAAACAATCATCAGCCCTCTTATACCCAATACCATCATCAGCCCTCTTATATCCGATACCATCATTAGCCCTCTTATATCCGATACCATCATCAGCCCTCTTATATCCGATACCCTCATTAGCCCTCTTATATCCGATACCATCATCAGCCCTCTTATACCCGATACCATCATCAGCCCTCTTATATCCGATACCACCATCTGCCCTTTTATACCCGATACCATCATCAGCCCTCTTATATCCGATACCATCATCAGCCCCCTAATATCCGCTATTTAGGGGTACCATTTTTTATGCGGACAAATCGGGTGTTCTAAATCCTCAAATTGAACATATTTTGATTTTGTTACTATTCAAAGTATGAGTGTTTTAACGATACGTACTAACTAAATAACTAAAACGATTTCCTCTCACCCAATTGATAAGTTCGTCGCGATGCGATTCCTGATCCAAACCCTTTTCTTTCTGCTTTGGACAATAAAAATGGTAAATACATCCCAAAATAACGTCGTTTTAATTGTAACATTATTGTTGACTTTGTGTGTCAACATTCTGACTACTTTTATGACACGTGTTTTAACACCAGGCGACTTAATCAGCCTGCGTTACGGACATATGATCTACACTGCCCACAAGAGGCAAAACGCTGAAATAAATAAAACAAACACAAAAATGAGAGAAGAAGACAGAAAGCATCGTTCAAAGTATGATGAATCGAAACGTACAGAGAAAATTAGTGTCGGATATTCGCCTGTTTGGAAAAAAATGATTGCGAATTTACTCGTGTTATATTAACTATGATGACGTCAGAAGAACGAATATACACATGACGTCACGTTATCGCGATGTTTAATATTGAAAGCAGTAAACATGAAACCAAGCGGTGACTTAAAGATGGTAGAAAAACAAATGTTTTATCGAAAATTTATAATTCTTTGGCAAGGTGATAATGTATTATGAATTTATTGCATTTTATACGAGGTTTACGAAATTTTCGTTTTAGCTTGACAGAGCTTCACTAGAGTCTAACCTTCTAAACTCGTTTCATATTTAATGCGAAATAGAATTTCATTTTAGATTCTTTTGGTCAGACATCTATTTTATTGTCATGTGTATATTGGAATCCAATTGCGACGTCAAACACAGATTGTCTTTTATAAATTGGTACCTCGTTGTGACTTCAGGATACTGAATGGAAGGATGTTACGTATTCTTTCAACGGCGGCGTTCTGGAGGGGAAAGTCAATGACGTCATATACGCACAGAAATCTGAAGGTATGAAATATGTCTGAACTCATTCTATAGGATTCAAATACGCAATTCATTTTAGGTGATTTTAACACTATAAGTTTTCTTTGTACCAAAATAAAACTAGAAGATTAACTTCTTTAAAACTTTTAAAATGGGTCGCCATTTGTATTTAGAAATTTGTTTGTGGTCAGTATAGCAACATTATGCTAAGAGCGAAACTGGAAATTGTTAAAGAAACCGGAAGTAAGAATAGAAATAGAACGATATGACTCTGTGATTGCTGTAACTAACCCAGGCCAATCAGTTGTCCTGTAGTTAGATAGCTTGTTCTTCTTTCCTTACTCTGTTATGTTTTTAAATGAAAACAGAACATAACCACACAAATAATGACTGTTTCTTTAACTGTGCCACTACTTCCTTTGATAGGTGTCATAGAACGTCGACCTTGCGCACTCCAGATTGGTCACGGGCAGGATATGGACGACTTTGAGGGGGAAATGGATGATGTAAGTGAAAAGTAAATTATATGGATTATGTATAGAGCTTTATTGGCTTTTATAACAGCCAGTATCTATGTCACAAATAAAAAGGGTCTGCAGTTGTGTAATGTTAGCTTTAATCAAATACATCCTTAATAAAAAAAAAATGTTTATTTCCGTTGAAACTGGGTTTTTTCCCCCACATCTCATATGAATTAATGGTTATACATGTATTTGGATATTTCAGATATCACATTTTCCACTTAGTTTTTTTTTTTTTATAAAGACTTTATGTAAATTAATTTTCGTACTTCGCCAAAATTATTCATGTTAAAAAACCATGAGAGCTAGGCGGATGCAGTATATTTATTTGACATATTTTCTATTTCAGATTGAATTTTTCACCTGTAAACCTGATGATTTAGATAAATGACGGAAATAACCTGATCAACCGACTAACGAAATCCAATGTAAAGCCGTAATGTCGCTCGGATCCACCTGTTCGACATAGTTGAAATATGTTCGTTATCTGTCGTCACTCCTAATTTCCTTCATTAACTGTGTCTGTTCCGTGGTGTGGTAACCACATTTAAGTTAGGAACCATCAACTGTAAAATCAAGAGAAGCATTTCCCTACCACAAGATGCTTTACAAACATTTCCATACACATAGACTCTTTACAATCATATCCCTATATTGAGACGCTTAACAAACATTATTTTAACGGAGACGCTTTACAAATATTTCCCTACCCCTAGACGCTTTACAAACATCTCCCTACCCCAAGACGCTTAACAAACATCTCCCTATCCCAAGACGCTTCTCAAACATCTCCCTACCCCAAGACGCTTTTCAAACATCTCCCTATCCCAAGACGCTTAACAAACATCTCCCTATCCCAAGACGCTTAACAAACATCTCCCTACCCAAGACGCTTTACAAACATCTCCCTATACCAAGACGCTTCACAAACATCTCCCTACCCCAAGACGCTTTACAAACATTTCCCTTCAACAAGACGCTTAACAAACATCTCCCTACCCCAAGACGCTTTACAAACATCTCCCTATCCCAAGAGGCTTCACAAACATCTCCCTACCCCAAGACGCTTTACAAACATCTCCCTACCCCAAGACGCTTTACAAACATTTCCCAACCCCAAGACGCTTAACAAACATCTCCCTATCCCAAGACGCTTCACAAACATCTCCCTACCCCAAGACGCTTTACAAACATTTCCCTACCCAAAGACACTTTAAAAACATCTCCCTACCCTAAGACGCCTTACAAACATTTCCCTACCCCAAGACACTTTAGAAACATCTCCCTATCCCAAGACGCTTTACAAACATTTCTCTATCACAAGACGCGTTAGAAAAAAATCCCTATCCCAAGACTCTTTACTAACAACACCCTACACCGAGACGCTTTACAATCATTTCCCTATCCCAAGACGGTTTACAAATATAACCCTACATCGAGACGCTTTACAA